GCCTACAGTGCTGCATAATGTATCTACATCGTTTCCAGCATTTCAGCGTCTAGTGTGAACGCGACACGTTAATTAAATCGAATGGCGTGTTGAACGGAAGCCTTTTTGCGCTTGCGTATGCGTTTTACCGTGTGGGGCGGGGTCTAAGCCAAACTATATCCGCGTCACTGAGATTGCTGATTTTAATTAGTCAAACACATATAGACCCTATAATATAGTCCTATATTAAGAACGAGAAAAGTCATTAACAATATATATATCCTTTTTGTAAAACATATGACAAATGTGTTGAGGGTGATGACGTCAGAGCATCGTCTATGTGCAGCGGCTTAGCCCCGGACAGGCCCCAGCCCAATTTAATCCTGGTTTAATTTGTGGAGGAGCTCCTATATGGCATTTACCCGCCTGAAGCCTCGCACCAAAGTTTAACATATTAATAGTTCAAAGTTTGCTCAATGTTATTCGTTTATTGTTCTCAAATACTGGTATTCTAATGGTTTCTGAGGAAGTTTTACTGCGAATGAAGAGCACAGAGTACAGAAGCAACAAAGCAGCATACTGCATCTAAACCTGGAACTCAAAGAGAAGGTTGAGTCATGTGGGGAGAGGAGCTTCAGCTAGTCTGATCTGCACTCTGTTTAGTTGTGCTATCATTCAACTCATATAGTAAAATGCTGAAGGTAAAGTGTTGTAGCCAATGTACGCGTTAGAACTCAAAGTTGCGTGAGCGTCTTAAAAATGTATGGAAAGGTCTTAAAAAAGGTCTTAAAGAGTAATTAAATTTTGACTTCAGGATTTCTGCTATACCCTGATTAATACGTCTAGGACCGGCCGCCGTCTCCCTGATGTGACGTCACACGCGGGTGGCTCTTTTTTAGCGAAGTAAAATGTCTTACAAAAACGACGCCAGATGTCCACTGTAGGGTGTACATATTCTATGTATATTCTTTGAAATCTAGTGTTTTCTTCCAATACACATTTTTCACTGGGGTCTCTAACCTGCAAGCTTGCTACCTTTAAATATGAATGTCTTTTGAAAATCAAGACCTTTATGAGATGCATTGTTATGTTTTGTTAATTCTAAAATGTGTCTTTCACTATAAGTAATGCTTAATGTGTTTAGGTGAGCCACGTGAGCCCAACTGGAGACTCTGCAGATTGAATTGGGCCCTCAAAGAGGTTGACTAAAACACCTCGCTCTACAGCTGAGCCCACTGGCACCATCAGAATGCAGCTCATGTTAACGAGCTCCAAGAACAGATGATGCCCTAAAGGTACTCGTTTTTAGGTATTCTACAACAATTGGCTAAATTTAAAGGCTTTACACTTTTTATTTGTGGTCTATAAGAAAGCAGGCCTTTGGAAAATGACAAAAAAAAAAAAAAAAAAAAAAAAAAAAAAAATCCCAAAATGTATAACCTATAACTACAGCGGTGATCCACTGGGTCTTAAAAAGTATTAAAAGTGATACTCAATTAGCGAAAATTAAGGCTATTAAAAGAGCTGATTAAACTGCATTCTTTCCAAAGGTTTTACTTTTGTAGCTTGTTTCAATACAAGTATATAAATTGTCCAAAGAGGTTGTATTCTACAGTCTGCCTGAATGTTATCATTGCGTAGGGTGTGTAGTGTGGATTCTGTGCTAGTTTATTATGGCCATCCCGTGGATTTGACGTCTATCTGACAGGACATCGACCACGCTCACGCATCGATAGCGAGAAAGGTCCGTTAACGCCGGTGTTAGTATCTCTTGTTAATTGGGGCGAAATGCAAGTACTTTGCCGTGCAAATGGGTTGGGAAGATAAGAGAAGGACAATCAATACTGAGTATATGTCAATGTTAGGTAAAGTGTGTCGCCAAGGATAACGGTTAGAACTCAAGTGGCGATGAGGTCTTAAGCGTGCGTTCACACCTGCCTCTGTATAGTCCGCTTGAATTGCAACCCTGGTAGCGTTTAGCCGCTTGGTGCGTTTAACCGCTTGGCTCGGTGGTGAACCCAATCCAGAGACACTCTTAAGCTGATACTAAACAACAAACTCTTGGCTCCGCTAAAATAGGTGTCCGGAGGCGGCTTGCTTGCCCGAACTCTGGGCGGATTCATTGCTGGCTGTGAACGCCGTCCGCACAACATAGGAGCGAAGTATTACCGCTCGTCACAGAACGCGGAATATCTTCAAAATCTTAGCGAAAGACTCTTCAAGGACATCGCGGTTGTTTTAGGTTAAGAGTGAAGCAGATCGAGTGTTGAACAGTGTTGGTAAAGGTCAAAATATCTCCGTCAGACTACATAGAAGTAATAAACACCTGTCGTCGGTGAACGCGCCCTCGCCTTACTGCAGAACGTCTCATAGCTATGTGTTAACATGGGTTTTGATTAACGGAACGTATGCTCTGATTATATAATCATATGCGTGGGCCGCTGTGTTATGTTGATCTCCAGTTACACAGCAGCCATGAGAATAACCTGGCGAAAGGTGCCGATGCTCCGATGGCGGAGGCTCCGGTAGAAATTGCCGGGATTTGCGTTTTTACCCCCTTAATGTCTGACCAATGGTTGAACAGCATTTCCGTGCACATGACTTGTGTTTACAGTTTATAGTCTGTTTGAATTTTTTCTGGTGTGAATGCAAACCGAACCTTTTGAAAAATGAAACAATGTAACAAACTGTGGCACCAGAAAACGGACTATTAGGTGTGAATGCACCCTAAAATGTATGGAAAGGGTCTTAAAAAAGGTCTTAAAATGGATTAAATTTGACTTCAGTATTCCTATATATCTATCTATCTATATCCTGTATTAAGGCTTCAAAGCGTTGGAGTAGGAAGAATATGTGTATTATTGAAAAACCTAAAATATTTTCCCTTTCCTCTTGTACCAAGGCTCAACACCTCCTGTTGCATCTAGAAGAGATGACAACAACACATAATACCACAGCAGCCCTCATAGGTGAAAAGACTACGGAGCTGGACAGAACATCAGAGGAGCTGGAAAGGACTCGTGCTCAGGTTGTAAATGTCCAAACAGAAGTGGACAGATTGCAGGGAGAGCTGGAGAAGAGCCTGGGCCGTCTGGACACTGCTGAACAAGTGAAGAGTGAATTGGAGTCTCAGATCTTCTGTTTGAAACAAAACCTGGCCAACCTGGAGGAGGCCCAAGCCCAGACAGAGCAGGAGAGAGAGGAGCGCAGGAGGAAGGAGGAGGAGATGGACGACCAGATTAAGAAAATGGAACAAGTCTTAGAGGAGGAACTGGAACAGTTTGAGAGCCTGCTAAAAGCTAAGGATGTTGAGGTGAGATGTAAGATGTGTTAATAGTTATGTTGCTCTGTTTGAAACATTACTGCCAATATATTATTAACACGATGATTTGTACAGTTGTCTGAAGCGAAGGAGAAGTGGGAGGAAGAGAGCCAGGAGAAGGAGACAGAGCTCCTCGGAGTGAGGCATCACCTGGAGGAGCAGAGGAGGGAGAGGGAGGAGGAGGTGAAGGCTCTCCTGGAGGAGCAGAGGAGGGAGAGGGAGGAGGAGGTGAAGGCTCTCCTGGAGAAGCAGCTGTTGGCAGTTGAGGAGGAGACAGAAAGACTAAAGACATCTCACCAACAGGAGGTCAAAGAGCTGATGGAGAGACATCAACAAGAAGTGGGATTTACAAACTTCATACATTTGACAGATTAATGATGATGGGATTCTTTTTCTGAATTAAGACATTTTAATGCATTTATTTTCAGTTAAAACTCCAAGAAACCCATTTGTTTCTCGTGCCACCCAATGATTGCTTTACTTAAGGTTATTAATTGTGTATTATGTACATTTTTTGTAAAATTGCAGGATATCGCAAAAAGCCATTCCTACTAATTTATTTTCGATACATTTGCAGTTTATATTTGGCGTATTTTCTCTTCCCGTCTGATACAGGTTAAATATAACGTTTGTGAGTTCCCTCCAGTCTTGTAATATCCTTTTTATGTTTATCTGCGTCAAATTTAGATTTCTGAGTTGAACACCCACCTGGAGTCAGAACAGCTGAAGCAGCAGGTCAACATGGAGGAGGAACAGAAGAGACAGATCAGCTTCATCAAACAGGTGTGATAAATACAACGCACAGTTGGACACGACAGTGGAAGTCTCTAAAGTTAAGAAACTTTAACATTTGAAATATTGTTCTTTCTCCTCCAGGTGACCGAGCGAGAGCATGAGAGGATGCTTTCAGAGCTGTCTGCCAAACACAATGAGGAGCTTACACAACTGAGGACAGAGGTGTCCTTGGAGCTGAGGGAGAGCATGGAGGCGGCTCACCAGGCGGAACTGCTGCAGCATCAGGTATTCTATATATAAGCACACGGGCACAGTGGAACATCTTCAGCCACAGCATACTGCACAATGTCACTTCAATCCGTGGCATTAGATTTCTTTTCCTACTTTAAATACGATTCAGAGTATTTTTTTCTCCAAATAAATAGAATTTCCCTTGGTGTTGTCTGGATACAATTATCTTGAAAGTAATGCAAAAGTCATATGGAGAGAATATTTAAATAAAAACAAATGAATATAAATATAGTGTAGAAAAAATACAAAAGATACTGTTAAAATATGCACAATTTATCTATTAAAAAAAAAGAAAGAAAAAAAAGGATCTGAAGTAAATCTTGAATGTTTCACTTACTTATTTCTACTTTTATATACATTTCTATGGAGAATAAGTGTCACTTAATTCCCTGCAATGTACAGTCATGACTAAAATAAGTAGGAGCGCTAAGATATTCTGTATCGAATGCTTTCATTTCCTTTAGGTCCAAAAGAAGAGCGAGCTTGAGGCCATGCGTCTGAGCCTGACCAACGCCCACGTGTCTCAGCTGGAGCAGGAGTCTGCTCTCACCGAGGCCCAGGGCTCCCTGAGGGACACCTTTGCTCAGGAAATTGCTCTCCTAAAGGCCCAGCACCAGGCAGAACTGGACCACATTAGACAGCAGAATAAGGAGCAGCAGGAGAAACTGCGTGAGCTGCAGCAACAACCGATGAGTGAGTGCGAATAAGATAGCGTTGCAGTTTTTGGGACAGTGTTTCTTTTGGTGTTTGCCTGGAAGTGCAATCGACATGTTTGCTATTATGGATGTGTCTACTAGGCCACCCTCATTCTTTGATGTTAGTGAATCTTTTCATTTTGTTTGTTTAGATGATCTGCAGCAGCAGTGGGAGACTCTTGTTGCTCAGGAGAGAGCTGCCATGGAGGAAGAGCAGGCCAAAGACATTCAGGTAACGCTTAATAATCAGTGTGCGAAAAAGTACACGTCCCACCGTCCGGGACGTGTTATTTACAATATCGGACAAGTAGATCTTTCAATTGACTTGTCCGGTGGACAAGTGACGTTTTTCGCCCTGATTTATTGACAAATTATTGATAAATTCAGTTTACAAAAGGCAGAACTCATTCGCAAATTGTACGTGTCCACAATTGTTCGTTTATAAATGTTATTTTCGGTTCTGCTTGTCGATTCCTAAGGAAATGCATCTCGCCGCTTTCTGTCCAGTTAGAGTGTAGCACAGTGGCAGGGTTGGGAAGCAAAACTCGGTTCTGAGGAGGAACAAATAACAATTGTCCGGTCCCGGGATTGATAAGAGTTGTGAGGACAGGAGGCGAGGCCGTGACCCGCGGACCGCAGAGCTCTCTCTCTATGCTCCGTATCAGCTGATCGCTGCACCGTGCAGCTCAGCGTCTCTCTCTCTCTTTCTACACACAGCGGATCCGCTGCCCGTTTAACAGCCTCATCTTTGTCAAACTTTCTTATGTTCTTTCTCTCACATGTAATGAAGGTTATTAAGCGTTTTAGCTCCTGTGTTGTTAATATTGACCGCCATTTCCTTTATGAAGTGAAGCAGCCTCCCTGTGTCCTCGCGCTGTCCTCACATCCCCGGACCCCCAGACTCGGAGGAGCACAGGGATGTCAGTATTGTTTATGAAGCAGGGTATAGAAAGTACATTATTGAAATGAAAATACTATTTATTTACTTTTACAAACAGTGAGCAGCTGGGCAGCTGCAGCATGTGTATTGCAGGATATGTGTAAGCGTCTTTGAGTTGTAGAAAAGCGCTAGGCCTATAGGCTATAAATATTATTATTATTATTATTATTAGGCCTATGTGTTGGACATGTGTGGTTGGACTCAGGCTCACAGGCAGGTTGCAGCATGTGTGTTGCAGGACATGTGTTGGACACACAGACTGTGTGGTTGGACTCTGTCTCACAGGCAGGTTGCAGTGTAACATCAGAGGAGACTGGGCCAATTGTACATTCTCAAACTGCACCACTTAGAACTAACTAAACAATGCAGAGATTATTTTTATATAATTGTATTCAATAACCGTAAGAAATTAAACAGTATGAAGTGATTTGTAAATAGGAATACAGATTTGACTTAATGTTTTCATAAATATATTTTTCTCCCAGCTTGTCATGGGACTTATTTTTACCCTCTCAAAGAACCGGAATCGAGAACCGAAAATAACTGGAATCGAAAAGCAGAACCGGAATCGTTAAAATCCAAACGATACCCAACCCTATGTGTGATGCAGTAAAATCTTACCGCTCACTTATGTTACCGGTGTCGTAAAACCGTGGGAAAATGTAA